CCTTTAGGATTAAGCTGCGCTCTCCGCCTCTTAGCCCTTCGTGCGCCAGTGGGGGAAAGCAGATGCCCAGACAGTTTGGTGGCTCCATTTAGTAAAGCCAAGATGCAATTATGCAAAAGACCTTGGTCGCGCAGCCTCCGCGGAGATCAAGAGACCACCGCGCAGCAATGCGCTGGCGCCCTGTCGCCGGTTCGGGGGACGAGCTGGTGGGGGAAAGAGGCGCCTCGGGGCCATTTGTTGACTACGGGTTTTATACGCACTCTGCTGAAGGATCGCGCACGGTGCACCCCCTCCAGCCCTGCCCAGCCCTTTCTCCTCCTTTGGAGGTCTGATCCTCTTTCACACCCTGACACATGTCCCTTTTCTCTCTGCTCCCTACCCCCCCACCCCTCCCCTCGTACCCAGCTAAGCCTTTCAGGTGGAGGCTGAATTAGCAGCCGGAGGGAGGCGAGACCTTTTTGTCGCTGCGCTTCGGCGCTGGCTCTGCGAGTGACCCTCTCCTCTCACTCCACCCGGTGCCTCTGAAATTAGCTGCCTTCCCTTCTGGGCTGGGGTTTGGAGACTCCGGGGAGGCAGCTGCTGCTGCTGGTACCTGCGAGATAGAATCACGTTTCCCCTCGCATTTTTTTTTTCACCCGCCTCTAATCCCATTAGCACACCTGAAATAATAGCCTCGGTGGGTGACAAAACGCCGCCTCTTTTTCCCCTTGGTTTTGCCGCTTAGCGGAATAAAAGAGAGGGTTTCTCATTTGGGCTGCCTGGGTGTTTTGTCTTGTTTTTCTATGCAGAGGCGAGGGCTCGCGCAGCGGATCAAAGGCCTTGGCGCTGAGCATCCTTTTTTTGGAAGGAAAGTGGCACTGAAATCATTGATGCTTCCACGCAGCGGTGTTTCCTATTGATATGTAAAGCGGGGAGGTGGGTGGGAATCCTGCCACCATCTCTTCTGCCTTTGCATAGTAGAAACCAAAATCTTCTTTGCCCATATATATATATATATATATATATATATATATCACATCAGTCTTAGGCAGCTGATTTCAGAGTAACATGTCTCAGGAAATGTGCTTAGATGACCTCAGCTTTGTATCCTCATCTTAAACATGTTTACTCAGAAGTAAGTCTCCCACTGAGTTCAGGACTTAATTGCATGCTATATATTTAATGGTTATTTGCTTCAGTCAACATCACTTTGACCTGCTTTCCTGGTGATTGCTAAAGAGAGTTTTATACAGAAGCATAAGGACCAATTTATATAATATGAATTCCTTTCCCCCTTAGTTTTTAAAAATGATTAAGGAACATTACATTTTAGAAGGTTTTGGGAAAGTCCCCTCCCCTAAATTATTATAATATACCAAGGAATATGAATTCATTGAGCCTTTCTCTTTTAGGTCATATCTGGTACATATCAAAGACATCTGAAACTGCTGCTTAAATTTAAGGAAGATTTTTTCACCCTCTTTTGTGCATGAGAAATCGATGGGGCTAACTCCTGTGCTACATAGGAAATAATATAATTGTGAACATTATTTTAATCCCTCCTTCAATACATTAGTTTAAGTCATACTGTTCTATACCAAAACCAACCACATTACAGTATAGGAGGATATTTATGGTGCATGGTGTTCCAAAATTCACTCAAGCTATGGGAATTTTTTTTTCATATAAAAATGTTTTTGATGTATACTGCCAAGAGTCAAGGGCTGGTGTTTTATTTTGATGCAATAGAGAGCCTCCGTTTAAAAAACAACCTTTGCGTTGTTTTTCTTCTTCGTCATCAGATGAGGTCTCTGCAAAAGCACTCTGTATGTCTGCAGCCCCTTTTCACCTCTGATTTACTAAGGAAAACATTTCATGCTTGTAAAAGCCCACTTAAAAGATTCAGTCCTCCAGCTTCTTCCCCGGCAGCGTCCGAAGGTGTAGCGCCCCCAAACAGCGCCCACGGGCGCACCTCATGACCCAACTGAATCTATACCTCTCTACTCAGAAGTAAGTTCCATTGTTCTCAATGGGGCTTGCTCCCAGGTGTATTGGGACTGCAGCCTTTCAACCGAACACGTTTTCATCCCTCTTAACCTGATAAGACAACTTTATTTCTCTCCCACACGAAACCACAAACAGTAGTTTACTTTCCCAGCGCCTCTACCTTCTCATAATAATTTGCTTCAAACCCAAATTATATCTAGTTTTTTTACTTCAGCTAATTTACTGCGCGACTAACATTTTTATAGACTGGGTTAAGAGGCGATCTCTAACTCTTGCCATTGAAACACTTCTAGCAATAAAGTATTCGCTTATTTAATTCATTAAAAGTACGCTTCTTTTCCTTTATTCGCCTTTCTTTGCCTTAAAGTTTCGCGCACAAACTCAAACAGCAGCGGCACATTAATAAACTTTATTGTTACAGTGAATTAATTCCTGGCACAGTATTGTACTGCTTAGGTACTGCAACTTATTGAGTACCAAGAATGTAACTTGGTCAACTCCGAAATGTGAAATTTGCCGTGTCCCGTCCCGCTCCACGCACTCATATATTCTGGCTGAGAGATCACTTTTATCCCAAACGAAAGTTTTCTTGACAGTGGCTGTAGTTTTTCCAACGTCCAGTAGACGGCATAAACGTTCAAGCCTTCAAATACCAGGCGACCGAGCAGGTTTTGTTTTAAATAATTAAGCAAGCTCACTTTTTTTATTCAGCGAGTGTTTCGGTTGCTTTTGTTTTTGTATGAAGCAAGTAGTATATTCACATAAATTACGATGGTCATATTTTTTGTAAAAAGAGGCAGACTCTAAATCAGGTGACAAAACCTACCCATATTCATAACTCGAATTAAATATAAGCAAATTATCCCACAGCCCTTACCCCAAACTTTCTGAAGAGCACCGTATAAAGGACTGATTTATAGATCTTTAGTATTACAACTATAGTATGTACACCTGAAATTCTTTTGAGGCGTTTTCTGTAGTTTGGGAGAACTAAACTCCTGTATCTGAAATTTAAATCATAACAACAAGCTCAATGTTCAAATGATTTTCCACTGCACGCCAACAAGTTACAGCAGCTCTTTCGGAACTATAACCGTGAAGTGACTGGGAAGAGTTTGTGTGTGTTTTAGATGCATAAACCAGGCCAACTTATGTCTAGACCTCCCCTCCACTTTCTTGTTATGTGCAACTCCGCAACATCACACGTTTAAGTTTCTGAAAGGCTTCCATTTTGACTTCACGCCACGCTCCTTGCTCACGTAGGAGTTTTTCGTGACAAAAGTCGAGGGTAGTAACTCATTTCCCAGTTAATTTTAGTTTTTAACAAATTTATAGCGGTGTTTAGAAAGTTTTAAGGCAACCGTAAATTTTATTAGGAATATTTTATTAAGCCCTCCATTTAATTAATAAAAGACTCTATAACTCTGAAAATGTCAGAGCTGGTAATTATGTTAAACAGTCTAGCTGCCTTTCTCTCCCTCTCCCTCTCCCCCCCCCCACCCCGCGCCTAAAGAGATTCAGGCATTTTAAAGACTTGAAAAGAAAAAGCCACTATGCAAAGTCCTGCTTTCTCCTCCTCCTCCTTCTCCTCTTCCTCCTTCTTCTTCACCTCTTTCTTTTTTTCTTTTCTGCAGAATGCGTTTTAGGCCTCTCATTCTCCATCCAGACTGTTTACTGAATACAGTGACTTGGCTATTTTGTCTTTGCCTGTCCCGGTAGTACAACCTGACCTCTGGTTGACTCCTGAACTGGACCAGGCGCCCTTTGTTTTCAGAAGTCAGAATCCAGTAAACAAATCTTCTCCAACTCCAAGGCCCCAGTCCATGGCTCGCCCTCGCACATGGCCACTTGATTCATCTTCACTTAATCCCCCCCTCAGTTAACCTCCTTTTATTATCACCTTCTCAGGTTTTGCCCTTTAATGGATCTTTAAATAGTTTTCTTTTTCGCTTGCTCACAGACATTCATTAAGCGTTTGACTTCTTTTTGCTTTTTGGTAAGGTCACTCCGATCACTTCAAACTCTTATCTGCAGCATTCCTTCATTATCTCTGCCACATTTAAAATCTGTTTTCTTTTGTTTGTTTTTCCTTATATCATGCCCTAAAACCTAAATACTGATGGATGGGGGGTGGCCAGGGAGGAAAAACACACTTGTGCTGCTGGTGTTAGTATAATGACATCAGGCTAGTGTGTAACAACAGCCTGTAAAGTTTGTTTGTTTTGGTGAATATTTAGTAATGTATGATGTCATGGATCGTCATATTAAAACTAGAAACTTGTACTCGGGAAGTTGGAAGGCAGGAACTTTCTGTTTAAGGTCGTAGGCGCAAGAGACTGGTAGTTTACACTAGTGTAATCCGTCGGAAATAAATGTGACTACTCCAGAATAAATGGTTAATAATTTACGCCCTTTCTGGGCTACACGTCTCATTCTTTTTCTTAAACTTGACATTTTAGGCAGTGTTACTTTGAGAGCGAGCCCCATTGAACTCATCAGGATTTACGGTCGAGTAAACACGCATGAAATCGGGCTGCCCAAAGTTCTGTTAAAAGTAGGTGCCCTGTTTTTAGAAATTACTATGGAAAAGTCTACCCTGACCCTGAAACATCTTGGTGTGATTCGCCACTGAAACTTTTGAGAACTTTGCTTCTCGTTCATATGCGAGGCCTGCAGAGGTGTAGAGAGCCAGAATATAACCTCTGAGGAACTGAAACCAAATGGGCCGAACAGTCATCACTGAACACTCACAGAAGCTGTGCTCGAAACACAAGCGGAGAACGTCCTTCTAAAAGCAGTAGTGTCTTGGAAAGAAAACAATAAAAGTTGTAGCCAGCTTTCTGGGGGGTTTTAGGTTTTTTAAAAAGCTCGCTGCTCCCTTTTCGTCTCCTTTGCACAGTTTTCTGAAAGAGTAAAGAGGCGACCGCAGCGAGACTGTATACTTCAGAGTCCTAGCACCGATGGGAAGTCAGTAATACAGTGAATTCAGATCCCAGGTTTTGGGTTGAATCGGGTCAGTGCTGGGGAGCGGGCGGGCGGCGGTTATAGTTGCATTTCCTAAAAAGGCCATCCAGTTGTGAAGTGTGGGCCGTTGTAGTTGAAAGCACAAAACCCAGGGCTGCCTCGGACAGTTTACGGAGATAGTGAGGAACTGTGCGTTTACTTTTTCCTTTTAATAGATGATTAATTGCCGCCCGCTTAGTCTTTTTATGACCAGTATATTGCAACTCGATACGGCCACGGTGCAATTTCTCACAGCAAGTTCCCGCTGTAATAACTGTTTGCTAATTGTTTAAAAAAAAAAAAAACCCTTATCCAGAAGGAGCTTTGCGCAAACAATTTGTACTACTGTAATTACACTGTAAAAGTGTTTTAGCCTCGATTGGGCTGAATTAATCTCAGAAAGGCCTGGGAATGACACTGGGTACAAGATGAATAGCTCCCTTCCTTTCCCTTTCTCCCAGACCCACCCCTTCTAAAAAAGCATTGCACGGCTAGAAATGCTTTCCTAAGAGAAACTTGGGAAGCCAGGGGGTCTCGCTTCTGTTATAGAGAAGAGTGAGAGGTCATGGTCCAACGGGGGTTTAAAGTGGGCAAAACTGCCTTACCTGGGAAGCTTTAATTTTTCCACCAGCCCCCGCCGCTGGTGCGTAAGGCTGAGGTATCTCACCGCGAGGTGGTGAGCCCAAAAATGGTGTGTTTGTGTGTGTGTGTTTGGAGTTTGTTTCTGAAAGTAGTTTGAAACCTCCTAACACATGTACCAGGGGAACAATATTTGCTAGCATGCAGCAGATTGCTCGTTCTCTCTCTTTCCTTTCTATGTTTTTTTCTTAAATAGAAGAATGCTTCTCCCCTCAGGTGAACCCGGTTCTTGGAAATATGAGCGTGGAGCGATTACTCCGCCACTCTTCGGCCACATCCATAAGGCTGCTTGGACCCTTGGTGTGACTGCACGGCAGTTGGATTTTGTGCTTTATTCCCCCACTCGTTGGACTGATCTGATAGATGTCAGGCCTTCCTTCTCTTTCCCTTAATACTCAACTTTTTATTATCTCCATCAGCCAACAACAGGTATTCGTCTCTAAAGAACAGGGGCCGGAAAAATAACCGACCATTGTACGGGGAATTGTGGAAAAAAGAAACCCCTTATTATTGTGAATCTTCGCCTTCAACTCCCAGAAGCGTCTGTGCGTCGTCCCATTTCTGTTTGAAAAAGCAAATTTAAATCAACCCCTCCCGTCCTTTAGAAATACATGTTTTTTGGCCCAAAAAAACTTAATAGCAGCACGCAGGAGACAGAAAGCGAGGCTGTGGGGTTGGAAGCAGCAGCAAAATATTTCTGTTAACGTTTCACTTAAGAGTCTTCTTTGGCCCGAACCAAACCTTATGTGATTTATTTCTGTTGAAATATATTGGTAGAGCATGTGAGAAGAAAACCATAACATTGCCACGGTGCTAGATCAGAGAGGACAGAAATTCTTCATTCGAGGAATGAATTGGAACAACAATAACAAACTTTTTTTTTTTTAATCTGGAACACTTCATGATACCTCTGCTGCCTATAAAAGGTACCAAACTGCAGCTTTTACTGTCACGTGTGAACAGGATGCTGTGCTCAGGAAGACGCCTGGAGATGCGATCCCCGATCCACCTCACCTCTTGCCTTTCTGGAATCACTCGGTGCAGGGGGGAGACATCTGTGTGAGCCGACCAAGAAAAAACATTATACCCAGACAAAGTGACAGAAGTGTAAACCAGCTCCCAAAGCCCACTCCAAAACAGAAGAGAGACCACTGGATCTCACATTTTACCCCTTTTTAAAGAGGCAAACCAAGAAAAACCAAGATAAAGCCTTTTCCCACCCGCCCTCTCTGTTTAATAGTAGCAGCGGTCGTATTCCCCTTTTGGATTAAATCCCAACACAGGGCAAGGCAAATGAGCAATCTTTCTGAACTTAGCAACTTCGGTTCTCTGTGAAGTGGCTTTTGGGGGAGGAGGCGCTCCCCGCAGATCGAAGCTCCCTGCTGATCGATTATTTGATAATTGATTTCTCCCAAAAAACCAATCCATGCCTGGCTTTTCGAGAAAAGGTCCTGATTGGATTACAGCTGCTCCACTGCTGCCTCCGGCGGGGGAGATTCCCCCTTCTAGGAGGTTTTCAAAAGGAATGGAGGGGAGTCGGTGGGGGCGGGGAAACCCTGCCTGGCGGAGATCTCTGCTCTGGGGGGGAAGATGTAGCAGTTTGGAGACAACTCCTGGCGCAAACGCCTCGCCTCGGACGGCGGAGGTGCAGTTCCAGCAAAGCAGGCTGGTTTGCTCCCCTAATAGGGCTTTCTTCTCCCTTAACTCCGCTTCCTTTTGTATTGGCTTGCGAGAGGGAGAAAGGGCGACGCGTAAAAGTCCTGCAATTTCAAGGCGCCAGGCAAAGGTTCGCTTTTACAGAGCGAAGAGTAAATAGAAATTAATCACTTATTTCTAGACAAAGGAAATGGCCACTAGCCTCGGAGGTTGCTAACAGTGTAGCGAGGGGTCGCTGCTGCATGTGCCCTAGATGTGACACGGGGGCGGGGAGTGGGCGATCTGGTGCACCAGACACAGCCCCCCCCCATCTCGTGTGTGTGTGTGTGTGTGTGTGAGAGAGAGAGAGAGAGAGAGAGAGAGAGAGAGAGAGAGAGAGAGAGAGAGACACGTCTTCAGAACTGACCTCGGTCCCATTTGATGAACCTAAGCAGAACCGTAGTCACAGAAGCAGATTCACTACAAGAAAGAAAGAAAGATAGAAAGAAAGAAAGAAAGAAAGAGAGAGAGAGAGAGAGAGAGAGAGGGATTGGATAGGAAAGGTGGAAAAAGCCCTAAACGTTGACGAAGCAGAGGAGAAGAAGATAGAGAAATTCCGTGTAAAAGAACACACACACACACACAACCTTTCCACGCCACGTTGGGGTGAGTTTAAAGAGAAACCACCCAACGCCAGAAAGCCCATTTTCTCTTGACTTTCTCCCCTGTTAGGTAGCAAAGGAGAAGCTGGAAGTGAGGGGAGGGGTAGTCTTCCGACGAGCAGGAGGACCCGCGCTCCAAGGCAAGCCTCCAAAACATTCGTGAATCTTTTCAAACATCAGGGAAGGTCTGCCACTTGAGGCTTCTGGCAGGCACAACCGATGCCCACAGGGAAATCTCACAAAAAAAATAAAGGGAGGTTGTTTTAATGCACGTGTTAATAATAGGTGTCCTCATTTTAACTTCTGCTGAGAAAACCTAGAGGAGGAGGCATCTTTCCAGCATGCATTTATGTTGAGCTGGACTCCAGAGAAGTCCTCCATACTCCAGATAACTTTTTCATTTCCACGAGGACGCTGTGCCAGGACCCCAGGAGGAAAGTACTTGCGAAGGCCTAGTGGAAAATGCATTGGAGACTGGACCCAAGACCAAAGAAACAAAAACAGAAAAAACAACACCACCCCCCACACACAAACCAAACCAAACCGCAGGGAAAACTTCTTTCACTTTTTTAAAAAAAGAGGCGGCCTTCCCGGTCCCTTATGTTTCGCCATCTTCCTCCCCAAGTGACAGAGTGGATCTTCTGTGCGCCTTGGTTCCCACTCTCCTCGCACCCACCCCAGCACACGAAGTTGCTCTCCCCCCCCCCTTTAAACTGCACTGCGAAGGACTGGCCTTCAAGCTGACCCTTGTCTTTTCCCTCCTGTCTATTATGCAGTACGACGATTTACCCCATTACGGTGGGATGGATGGAGTGGGGATCCCGAGCACCATGTACGGGGACCCCCATGCCGCCAGATCCATGCAGCCCGTCCACCACATGAATCACGGTCCTCCGCTTCACTCCCATCAATACCCGCACACAGCTCACACCAACGCCATGCCCCCAAGCATGGGCTCCTCCGTCAATGACGCTTTAAAGAGAGATAAAGATGCCATTTATGGGTAGGTACAGCTAGCATCAGGTTCATTAGCTTAAGACGTGCTCGTTCCCCGTTCTTCCCCTCCCTGAAGAAAGCCACCGTTTACTCGAGACCGTAGGTAAATAATCCGGGGCAGCCGAGGCTTTGCATGGGGACGACGGACCAGGGGTGGCGACGGGTTGATTTCAGTGCCTCTCCTTGCCAATCGATCTCGGATGGACAAATAAACACCCTCTCAGAGCGAGATTTTGAAGCATAAATGCAAAGAGGTTGAGCCACTTTACAATAAAATATCATTCTAAACACCGCAACACACCTCGCCTAAACCCATGACTTCTATAGGTAGAGAAGGAAAGAAGGAATGAAGAGAGAAAGAAAGAAATTGTGGTGGCAGTAGACATGAAAACAGAGGGAGCTGATTGCAAGTAAAATCTTTTCAGGAATAGTTGAGAAAAAATGAATATTTCCTTTGCCCCTCCTTCTACGCTAAAGTAAAACGTTTTAAAATGTAGCAAACCTTTAAATAATGTTTCATTTAAAATGAGAACTTCAAGGCTGACTTCAAAGTTGCAACCCCACGTCTCTCTATAGCATTTGAAGTCTCTCCAACGTGGGAACTTTAAAAGTAGGGTTTTTTTGGTGGGGGAGCTTGATCTGTCTCACAAATATGACTTAAAAGGAATAATCACCAATTCAGTTTCAATTCGGAGTGTGAAGCACAAGGTGTAAAATAAAGGAGGACATGACGTTACTGTGGCAAAATGTTTAAAACGTGAGATTTCATCAATCCAACAAGGTAATTTATTATAGCGCAGTAACCAGGCAGTGTCTGAGAGAGAGACAGCGAAAGAGAGTTTGGAAAGGGATAGTCTAGGCCAACTGGAGAGGAAGGGCTGGTGTCACACATTTTAGCGGTTAGAGATGGGTGACTTTTAAGGGGACGTGTCCCCCCCACCCTACCCTCCACGCCTGCACCCCCACCCGTTCCAAGCCTGGTTGGCAACTTAGCTGAGCTGCGTAACTTCGCAGTCCACTCCAAAGTATAAATAAAAACAGAGTCCCCACTCCACCTTAGTGTACATGGGACTCCATTCGGTGTCCCCCACAACTAAACCTACAAAAGAAGATTTTTTTGCGGGGGGGGGGGGAAATGTTTCAAAATGGCAACTAGACACGAGGTTGGTTTGAACTTTAGCTAACGTTAACAACCTCTCTGACCAAGTTTGCTTCAAAACGGCCATCCTGGAGATCTCTATGGCTCAGGTCCTTGGGATCCAGGTCTGGAGAGTAGCAAAGTGAGCAGTGATTGGAGAAGTGGGTGTAAAAAGCCGGGGGGGGGTTGCCGGTGGCTGAGGAGACTTGCTGCTGTAAACTTCATTTTGGACAATCCTCTTGAATTTGCTCTAATTGCTGTGTCGTCTTGTGTGCTGCTTTGGTGACTCTTGTATTTTTCTTTCAGACACCCCCTCTTCCCACTCTTAGCACTGATTTTTGAGAAATGTGAATTAGCGACATGCACTCCCCGGGAACCCGGGGTGGCGGGCGGCGATGTTTGCCCCTCAGAGTCTTTCAACGAAGACATAGCAGTGTTTGCCAAACAGGTCAGAAAACAAGTCTCAATGCAAATCTCTTGCGCTTTCCCTCCTGTACTGTTCCAAATGTCTGATGATGACGAGAGTAATAGCAGCAGTAGCAGCAGCAGCAGTAGTAATAGCACTAATAAAGTGACAAGGCTAGAATGCATTGGAACTGTTATCCCTTGTCACACACGCCCCCTCCCCGGAATGGATCGCAAGCCTCTGGCCTCAGGTTCCTCCCCACATTGACTTGGGGGCGAGCCTCGGAGGTTTTCTGCCCTCTGCCCGCCACCTTGCAAAGGAGCCTGCTTCAGGCTTTTGGACCACGGCGCAGCTGACGCTCGAAAGCCTTTGCTTGGCGTGGCGAAAGTACTGCTGGCTTCAGCCCCCGAAAGTATTCCCGGTGCCTTCGCTTCGCTTCCCTAAGCCTTCCAAATCCAGCACTCGGGGGCTTTGCATGAAAGATTGCATAATGGACCCCACGGGTGCTGTGTTCGGGAAGAATCCTGGCGACGCGACCCCCTATCCACTCCCCCTCTTGCTTTTTTGGAAACTCTCAGTGCAGAGAAGGGAGCGAGCCCCCTCTGCATGCTAACCAGGAAGAGAAAGCATATTTCCCAGGGATATTGACAGACGTGAAGTCGAGTTCACATAGACATAGCCTACTCCAAAACAAAATAGAAAGCAGCATTTCATAGCTTTAAAAAAGCCCCACAGAAAGCCCCCCTCTCTCTTTTCTCCTTACACGCAGGGTGGGCGACACTTTCTATTATTATTATTTCCCTTTTGGATTAAATCCTAACACAGGGCAAGGGACCACTTTCTAAACTGATCAACTTCGGTTCTCCGTAAAAGAAGCCGAAGTGGCTTTTTTGGGAGGAGGCGCTCGCGGCAGATCGAAGCTCCCTGCTGATCGATTATTTGATAATTGATTTCCCCCTCAACCAATGCACGCCCGGCTTTCGAAAAGAGGATCCTGATTGGACTACAGCTGCTCCACTGCTGCCTTCTGAGATTTGGGTGAGCTCATTCTCTATCCTACGGCGGGGGAGATTCCCCCCCCCCCTTCTGTAGGGTTTTCGAAGCTTGGGAAGGGAATGGAGGGGAGTCGGTGGGGGCGGGGAAACCCTGCCTGGCGGAGATCTCTGCTCTGGGGGGGAAGATGTAGCAGTTTGGAGACAACTCCTGGCGCAAACGCCTCGCCTCGGACGGCGGAGGTGCAGTTCCAGCAAAGCAGGCTGGTTTGCTCCCCTAATAGGGCTTTCTTCTCCCTTAACTCCGCTTCCTTTTGTATTGGCTTGCGAGAGGGAGAAAGGGCGACGCGTAAAAGTCCTGCAATTCAAAGGCGCCAGGCAGTGGCTCCCTTTTACAGAGCGAAGAGTAAACAGAAATTAATCACTTTATTTCTAGACAAAGGAAATGGCCACTAGCCTCGGAGGTTGCTAACAGTGTAGTGAGGGGTCGCTGCTGGATTGTGCACCAGACACAGCCGTGTGTTTGTGTGTGTGTGTGTTTTCGTCTTCCCTCCAGAACTGACCTCGGTCCCTTTTGGTGAGCCTAAACAGATAGACGACCAGCGTCTCTTAAGTCACAAAAACAGATTCACTAACCTGCCTGGGAACTAATTCAGAGAAAAGAAAAGAAAGGAAAGGGGTGGTGTGGAGGGGGGGGCTGCAAAACGTCGGCGTTAAGCGGGAGAGAGAGGGAAAGGAGGATTCGCGCACAAAAGAAAACACCCACCCAGACACACACACACATCTCCAAGGAAGGCCGCACTGGGCTGGATGTAGAGAAACACCCCCAGCCTCGGCAACCGGAGCGAGCCCTTTCCCCCTCGTCTCTCCCCCGGTCTGAGCGAGTCGGGAGGCAGCGAAGGCGAATCTGGAAGGGAAGGGGAGCTGCTGGTGGTGGGGATCTTCCGACGAGCAGGGCAGGAGGAACCGCGCGCTCCCAGGCTCCCGTCATTGTTCGCTCCTCTCCGCCAGCGCGCTCGCCTCCGTGTGTGTGTGTGTGTGTGTGTGTGTGTGTGTGTGTGTTTTGTTAATGGGGAAGCCTCTGCTCGCAGCTCTTCCCTGCCGCTCTTCCTTGCCTTGCGGCTCACCCAACCCACCCCTGCGCTGCGAGCGTAGTTGATGCAGCCCGCTGCATTGTGTAAGACGCGACCTGTTATGGCCACCACTACTTCCGGGTTCCAGCATTCTGGTCCAATTCCACCTCTCCGCCTGGGTGCAACGCACACTTTACACACGCACGGGAGACTTGCAGCAGGCAGCGTCGATCGTGGCTCCTTTAAGACAAACTCAGACAGCCGCCTTTTCTTTCTTTTTTTTCTTTTTCTTTTCTTTCTTTTTTTTCAAAAAACCTTCTCTTCCTCTAGGCTTCTCCAGTTGCACGGAGGGAAGAGAGAAAATCTGATTAGGAATTAGGACTGAATCAAGCGAGGGAGAAAGAGAAAGGGGAAGAGGAGGAGGAAGAGGAGGAGGAGGAGGAGGAGGAGGAGGAGGAGGAAAAGAGAAAGAAAGCTTTTAGAGCTCATATGCTTTTGATGTTAACATTTGAGGTGTCCTGACCACTGGAAGCACACACGGAGGATTCTCATCATTCATTCACCACCTTTGACAACCTCTCCTTTGATTGACAGCTGGAGTGGCAAAAAGTCATGCGAGTTGGTAGTTGGGTTTGAGAGGCACTTTTTATTTTTATTTTTTTTATTTTTCCCCCCCAAAAAAACCCACAAAACTGATTTGGGGGAAAGGATATTTTGCTTTCTCCCCGTCGCTGTCTTGGAAACCAAAAGGGAAGAGTGTGAGCGACGCGGGAAAAGGAAGGAAGGAAGGAAGGAAGGAAAAGAAGAGGAGAGAGACGCTTCTTCTTTTCTTTTTTCTTTTTTTAAATGCTGAATGATCGCGCCGCTTCTCTGAGGTCCCTCCGGCTGAAGACTCTGGTCGGCTGCTCAAGCTACTGGCGACTTTAAAGGATTCTTTTTCCCTTTATTTTGGGGGGTGGGTGGGTGGGGGAGAGCACGTTTTGTTTCTTTTCACGCTGGCCTTAAAGAGGATATATTAGAAGTTGAAAGGGAAGGGGTGCGAAGCAGGCCGATGGCGCAAAGGGTATGTATTATTATTTTTAATTCGTGATTTCCGAGTAACATAACATTGAAACGTGGATCTTAGAGACACTGCAAGGAGGGGGGGAGTTTTGTATACTCTTAGAAACACACGAGGGAGCGTGTAAAGTCTATTACTGTTTTGAAAGGAGCATGTTTTTTTAACTGTGCATGTCCAACACACAGGCAGGTATGAGATGCACTGGAGACCTTGGTCCCATTTATTCGTAATATTAATTCATAC